GTTGATTGGGAATTTATGGACAAACGCTTGGAAATAATGAACTTTAGACCAGTCTTTCGACGTTGGGTTAGGATCCTCCATCATAACGCCACCACCTGTGTGCACGTCAATGGATCGATAGCGCCCCCCTTCGAGCTTCAGCGGTCTGTAAGACAAGGGGATCCCATTGCACCCTATCTTTTCTTGGTAATAATGGAAGCACTCTCGGCCAACCTCAGGCATAATAAGAACCTCTCTCGCATTAAGATCACGAACATCCCGGAGGAGGCAGTGTCGATCTGCTCACTTTTTGCTGATGACCTCACCATAATGTTTGAAGCGACAGATCGTAACATGGAAAAAATTCAAATTTTCATGAACCGGTTATGTCGACTCTCCGATATGGCAGTAAATTGGGGGCAGAAGATGGTAGGATGGTGGATGCACCAGCAAGGAGGAAGGCCTCCTGAAAACCCGCGAATCACATGGCTCCCTCTGGAAGACCCTTCGAGAGTTTTGGGAGCCCTCGTTACAGCGAAAGGGAAGCCGGCGACCAACGCTGACTGACTGATAGGACCAACAAACGCCAAACTAAAACAACGGAATAAAAAACACACATCGTTATTCGGGTGGACCCTGGTCAGTAATAATATGGTTTTGGCCACACTTTGGTACAAATTGATTATATGGTCCATGAGCGACAGGGGGCTTAGGTCACTAAAACAGCAGCTAGCAGCTTTCCTTTGGAGAGGGGACAATAATACCCCCCATGCAATTAGTCGAGTAGCTTGGGACTCAGTGATCCAGCCCAAGACCAGAGGAGGACTAGGAATTTTGGACCTGGCCACTCAATCCCAGACCCTTACACTTCGCTGGCTTCAGCACATTATCTTCTCTCTGTCCTCCCCCTGGCCCCCCTTAGCTCTGGCGCAAAACGCTGCCCTAGCACCGGAGGCCCCCCCGAAGACTGACCCCCTGGTATGGCTACAAGACAGATACTGAAGGCTTCCAAGGAAAGATAAGAATGGGAACCCCGTGAGCACACATTGGTTGCGCTTACTTCGCACATGGAGGAAGCTCCCACCGCCCGACCGACCCAGTCCAGATCGATGGGAAGAAATCTATAGACAACCGCTGTTTGGGAATCGACTGATAACGGATGCCTTGGGCCACGTAAGATGCAGCTCAGATGCCCCCTCGAAAGGTTGGGTTAAACGTGGTGCTAGCAGGGTAGAGAATCTGTGGGATATAGCGGCAAGATGTTGGAAGAGTACAGAAAAGATGCGGGCATGGCTACGCTACTGCCATCTCACGGAATCGGCGCTAAACGAACTCATTGAAAGTTCAAGTTTTTTCTCAAATGGTATAGCATCCTTCGAAAAGGGCCTCAACTGAGAGAAGGATACTAGGTTTGCCTGCCCGATCACAAGGAGGAGATAGGACAAGTACACATGATAGACCCAACACAGACCCTAATTGAGATTTTCTCCGTCCAAAAGGATGACACTCTACGGGGAAGCCAGGATCCTTTTATCTGGAAGGACAGAACGAACATATATCGCATCAAAGTTCTGGACAATGGCAGAGGACGATGTGCCTACCGTCCAACAACCCCGATTGAGGATCTCCCCTTCGACCCCGAGGAGTGGCATTGGTCCCAGGGAGCCACGACTAGACAAGGACCGACAAAACAACTAACACTTTACAATCTAAAAACCAAATCAGCCTATCGTATGCTCCGTCCCAAACAAAGACTGCAGGAGACGGTTGAGGACAGGTGGCATCGACATCTTAACGTCGACCGAGACTTGCTCAAGCCGATCCGTTGGTTCACTCAACTTAGGAATAAACCCGATAAGATCTCGGCCCTTCAGTGGCAAATAGCACACCGATGCCTGCCAACAAACAACTGGTTGATAGATCACACCCGTTTGGAGCAGCAAGGTTGGGCATTACCCTGGTGCCATAGTTGTCTTTTGGGTTACCCGGGGAGGAAAAGAGACGAAACAATTGAACACATCTTCCTCCAATGTCCGACTTCGGTTTTGCTCTGGAGGGTTTGGGACAGGATCTGGCGACACATTGTACCCGGTGTAGAATGACCATGGGAATGGAGGGCTATATTACTAGGTCATTACCCCCCGATTTGGGGAGACACATTCGAGGAGAACATGTTTCATTTGGGCAGGTGGGGGGTCCTGTGGGTCATCTGGTGGAAACATTGCATTTTGGAAATGGAAGGGGCACGGGTTGAAGAAGGAGAAATCACAGAACAGTTACGCCTATTAGTCCAACATGAAATTGTTGCCCAGTGGAAGGTGGCCAGGGACAAACTTGACCAAATGAATTCCTGGTCTGACATCAACAGGATCATATCCCGATTCAGTCAGGATTGGTTGCGAGGGGAAAGAAAATGATAGGTGGCGGAGGTAAGATGGTCTGAGAATTGCCAGCAGGGAGGAGAGCTGCAAGAAGGACACCAGATGGAGATAGCAAGAGATTATCAGTTGATCTTCCATGAGTGGACAAACCTCGATCCCGGCGAGAGGTTACGCCCGGCTCAAGAATTTGCAGACCCCTTCCCCCCCCACCCACTGGCACTGGAAGAGGTCCTCCCCCCACTATCACTGTAATCCAGTCCGGTGAAACCAGCCTGACTCAATTATCTTCGCTCTGATTTTTTCGGTCAACTTTCTGGCTATTTGATCATTGCCCCCTTCTTCTGTGGTCCCCTACTCCTGCTCCCTTCTTT